TCTCAGGAGTACCCTCTAGCCACAGCATTTAACCTCAGGGCCTGGCACTGTGGATCAGCAACTGTGTGCTTCAGAGCACAGGAGTGCAGCCTGTAGTGTCCTCGACCCCCAGGCAGTTATAGTCTTTGTTGTCCTCATTCACTCTGAACACTTAGCCTAGTCTGACTTCCAGGAAGAAGACTGCAAAAGAAACAGAAAGGACTCTCATATCCCTTTAGCAGCATCCTGAATTCCCAACCTAAAGACAAAGCTGAGCAGGCTGCACGATGCTGTGTAGTAACTGTTCCACTGGGCAGAGCACAGAAAAGGCAGAAACAGAACATGTCGGCTTCTCTTCCTCACAGGCTCCTCTCAGGAGGCTCTGGGCTGCTCTCCATGCTGCAACCTTTGAGATGCCTCTGTGTGCATAAAAGCCATAAATCAAGCAGCAGCAGCACATGGGTTGCAGGATGCCAACTGTGTGCCGCCTGTAAGGCAGGGGAAACGGGAAGGAGGAAGGGTGTGGGAAGACAGAGAAAGGAGGGAGGCACTGCATAGGGTTCTCTTCCTGAAAGTCTTTCTGTTGCATTCTCCTAGGCCCTCCTCTCCCACCTGGATCACATTTGCCCCCAGGCATCCTCAATGGGGTATATAACCAAGTGCAGGGAGGGGCATATGGCTAGACCCAGAGATGAGGTGAGAGGACAGAGGGCAGTGTTCTGGCTGGTATAATAATTCTCTGCAGCCTGCAGCACTTTATCCCCTATGTAGGCAGTCACAAATGTTTATGAGTGTCTCCCCAATAAGAGGGTGAAGGAGCGGAAACAGGCTCTGACTGACAGAGACGGTTGCTCTAGGAGACCCTGGGAGCCTTTTGAATCAAACATGAAGGCTGGAACCTTTGACTTTCAGCTGCTCCCCTTCCTCTAATCCTTAAAGCAGGCCCTAAAGGTAGAAGAAGTGCACTCCCCCCCCAGAGCCAGTCATCAAAGCTGGGTTCAGGAGGAAGTCTTGGGGTTGCCCATCACTTAGCCCTGGCAAGTGCTGCCAGTCAGAGACTGACATTAAGAGGTCAAAGTCTGATCAAAGACTCAAGGGAAATATTCCTACCTGACCCCAGCCCTCCCCTTGGCATTGCCAAGGTCAAATTCATCCTCTTCTGCAAGCTTTTTTTCCCCATCTCTCTCTTTACTCAGGCATTTCAAATCAAAAAGTTATTCATTCCAGAGAGAGCTCAGGTTTTTATGTATGAGGGTGGGGTAATCAGATGGTATGTTTAGTTAGGTCTAGGGAGGAAGAGTCAGCAAAAATACAAAAGACAGAATAGGGGAGTGCTTCCTCTAATGCTGACAGGAAGTGAACTTAAGAGGCAGAAAAGATGGAGTCTGTTAACCTGATGGTCTTCTAACCACAGGTCTCTAGGTACAGGACCTAGGAGAGCTACCCTGATCAAAGGAGGCTCTGACAAGGCCATCACTGTCTAGTTTCTTGGGCTTTCATGTTGCCAGGATGGACAGTGGAGGCACAGCTAAGGTACTGGATTGGATGGCCTTTTGGGGAGAGATCTTGCCTGGGAGCAGTGGAAGGAACCAGATACTTCAAGCCCATGCCTTCGGCTAATTTCTGTATTCCATGGCTTTTTCTTCCAACTTCAGTTTTCCCAAAGTGTGTATGCATGTGTTGGGAGAGGAGGGGTAATTAAAGATCAAGAAACAGGTCCTGGAACAGGCCAAGATAACTGGGCTGATATGATAATCTTTGACATACAAGGTTGAGAAATTATTTATAGAAAGCTTTCTTAGGAATAATAATATCTAACATTCATTAGTGATTTTTTTTTTTTTGAGACAGGGTCTCCCTGGCCTGGAACTCACTATGTAGACCAAGCTGGCCTTGAACTCACAGAGATCCACCTGCCTCTGCCTCCCAAGTGCAGGATCAAAGGCATGTACCACCAGGCCCGGCTAGTGTTTTATTATTGATTTACAAATTTTCGTAAACTAGCTTATTTGATCTTTAAAACCTTGGGAAAATAACTACCACCCATTTTATAGAATGGAAAATTGAGCCAGTGCTCTTCCATAACAATAGCACTAGAGGGAGAATCAGGATTCGAATCTGAATCTTGTGATATTTTCCTATTCCCCCTAGACCTTCAGTAGCAGAAAGAAAATGCCAGCCCATTATCCATAACCTTCCACATTTACCTACAAAGCAGATTCCACCCATATGTAAGAAGCACAGGGCTGAATGCTGTCTGGTCCTAATAGTCTTACAAGTGGACTTAGAGCAGACCATACTGACATGAAGGGATCAAGGGCCTACTAGATAGGGTGGCCCTCCTATGGTATGAAGATGGCTCTAAAGACAGAAGAAAATATCAAGAAGTTAAAACTGAAGAAATCTGGCATGTTTCCATTCCCTGCTCTGTCCATCTAGCAGAAGGGGTCCATACGCGTGAACCTTCTCAAAGCTTCACACAGAGGCCACTCCATGTCATCTCAGAAGAAAGTCAATAAACTGCTTAAGTTATTCGTAGAAACACTGAAAGGATGTCAAACTTATACTTTTACTTGGTAACCAGATTTCTGAATCATGAAGGTCTAGGATTCTATACTCTGGGAGGAGCGGTGTCACCTTCCTAGGAGGGGCATTCACATCCTTTGGAAGGTTAAGATGCTCTTGGTGATGAACAGACTCAACCAGACACAGACAAGGTTAGGGAAGGCTGATTTCTGATCAACTAGGACTACCATGAAGTTTCCTGCATGATGGATGCCCATTTGTGCTTGCCTCTTAAAAATATTTTATTATGTGTATGGGTGTATTGCTTGTATGTAGGTAGGTGTACCTGTGTTGTGCAATGGCCAAGGAGGTCAGTAGAGGGTGTTGGACCCCCTGGAACTGGAGTTACAGATGGTTGTTAGCTGCCACGTGGGTGCTGGGACTTGAACCCAGGTCCTCTGCAAGAGCAGCCAATGCTCTTAACTGCTGAGCCATCTCTCTAGTCCTTGTGCTTGCCTCTTTAACCTGCTTCTACCAGTTTCCCATACAGCTTGTCAGCCTGGCTGTTGTACCCTCAGGCCAACTGGAGATACCCTTAGTCCTTCAGCTTGCCCCAGCCACACGCACTCTCCAACCCCCAGCTCAATGGCTGCCGCCTCCAGGAACTAGTCTGATTCTCTGTGCAGTTCCTCCTTTGCTCTCTCATTGCTATTTAATTTATGTGCCTTCCCCACAGTTCTCTAATTCTACTCATGCTAATTAATTGTGAGCATAGTTCATTTTTCCCTAATAGATTATTAAGTCCTTGGAGACAGATGCTATATTGAATTCATCTCTATGGTTCCCCACTCTCCTTCCATGTCTGGCTGGGGGTTTAATCTCTAAACTTAGTAGGAGTATAATAAATAATTATTAAAATGAAATTTACCTTGGATTTCATATATTTATGGAATTTGATCTATATAGAACATGATATACAGAAAATCTGATATACATATGGAATATATATATATTTTTATATATGTAATCTGTGAAATAGATCCAAGAATCTGCACACAGGCTTGTCCTTCACAACCCTTATGGAACATGGTACCTCTCTCATCAGGGTCAATGAAGCTAAACACAGCCATCACAGAGATAGAAGGTAAAGCCAACATGACAAACCCAAACATTTCAACTTGGCTTGGTTATTTGAAGAGGTTAAAGTTATTTAAGAAAAAAGAAGGAGTTGCTGGTATCACATATCACAAAGGAAAACCAAAGATGGGTTCTGTGGCACTAGTGAAAGTGAGAAAATGAGGGAAGAAGAAAAAGAGCTTCCTGCAAAGCCCAGGACACAAAGAGAGATGGCTAAGTCCTGTCATATCAAGGGAAATGAGGCACCACATTCACTTTTTAGAATGAGAAGCCATTTCTGAGGGGACAAGGGCCCTGCTTATGCCTCCAGGTCATCAAGGGACCAAGGTATCTGGGAATGGAGTGGAGTGAGGCGAGGAGAACAAAGGTCATCATGGATTTCAGGCAGGACTATAAGAGAGAGCCAGAGAATCACCCCAGAAAGCTCTTATAGGAAAGTTAAGCTTTTCTTGCAAGGTGGAAGATGTAAGAAATCAGTATGGAGGCTGGGTGAGGTTCAATCAGATGAAGGCCAGCATCTCATACAGAGAGAGAGAGAGAGAGAGAGAGAGAGAGAGAGAGAGAGAGAGACAGAGAGAGAGACAGAGAGAGAGACAGAGACAGAGAGAGACAGAG